TGCAACTAAATTTTCCGCGCTCACCTGTTAGTGGTATTATAACAAAGTGGAAGCAACTGGGAACAACAGCAACTCAGCCACGGAGTGGTAGGCCACTTAAAATGACAGAGCGCGGTCAGCGCATGCTGAAGCGCACAGTGTGCAGAAGTCGCCAACTGTCTGCAGAGTCAATAGCTACAGACCTCCAAACTTCATGTGGCCTTCAGATTGGCGTGCGTAGAGAGCTTCATGGAATGGGTTTCCATGGCCGAGCAGCTGCATCCAAGCCTTACATCACCAAGTGCAATGCAAAGCGTATGATGCAGTGGTGTAAAGCACCGACCAATCAGAAAGCCGGGCGGCGAGTCATTACACAGCGCTCGTCTTCCTAATTGGCCAGGAAGCCGGCTCCATGCTCCCTCGTCACCTCATTACCTGTACCCCAGCTTCCTGAGAAGTGGAGGCGTGTTCTCTGGAGTCACGAATCACGCTTCTCTGACTGGCAATCCGATGGACATGTCTGGGTTTGGCGGTTGCCAGGAGAACGGTACTTGACTGACTGCATTGTGCCAAGTGTAAAGTTTGGTGGAGGGAGGATTTGGTGTGGGGTTGTTTTTCAGGGGTTGGCTTAGTTCCAGTGAAGGGAACTCTTAAGGCGTCAGCATACCAAGACATTTTGGACAATTTCATGCTCCCAACTTTGTGGAAACAGTTTTGGGATGGCCCCTTCCTGTTCCAACATGACTGCGCACCAGTGTACAAAGCAAGGTCCATAAAGACATGGATGAGCGAGTTTGGGGTGGAGGAACTTGACTGGCCTGCACAGAGTCCTGACCTCAACCCGATAGAACACCTTTGGGATGAATTAGAGCGGAGACTGCGAGCCCGGCCTTCTCATCCAACATCAGTACCTGACCTCACAAATGCGATTCTGGAAGAACGGTCAAACATTCCCATAGACACACTCCTAAACCTTGTGGACGCCTTCCCAGAAGAGTTGAAGCTGTTGTAGCGGCAAAGGGCGGGCCAACTCGATATTGAATACAAAAACTCAGAATTAAGTCTTAAAACAATGAAGAAATGTTTGATGATAAGCTCCACTGCTCCAGCAACACCCCGTAAAGATACATAAAGGAGGATTCATGAAAATTGGAGCAGACAGAATTTGGAGCAGCTGTAGATGGCAACCAATCAGCTTCTCCCTTTCATTTTCAAAGCTTAACTGGACACAGTGAAGATAAAAGCAGATTGGTTGCTGTGCACATCAGCTCCACATTCTGTCTGCTCATAAATTTCCCCCAAAATACTTTTTTCAACCAGACTCAAGTCTTTGACCCCTATTATCACATTACAAAATCCTGTTTGGTGATGGTTTATTGTTTTTGTGATGATCGAGATGTCTTTGTACTTTTCTTTAATATTTACTCTTTCACAGTTCATTGAAATTAAAATTTCATTAAAAGCAAGGGCCTGCTATTTCCACTTAGACCCTCCACTTCCTCCAAAAATACCACAAAATGCTAGTATAAGATACTGTAGGGCAGAGGTAGGCAAACTCTGGCCCTACAGCTGTGGTGAAACTGCCTCTGCCTCTGTGAGTCATGTTTGTGGCTGTCAGAGTCTTGCAATGCTTAGGGATTTGTAGTTTCACCACAGCTGGAGGGTCAGAGTTTGCCTACTCCCAGTTACATCACCAGGCTGGGTGGTCCAATTTTATGAACTGGATATTGGGCCTAACTGGTATATGCCTAACATTTATTTTAACTGTGGGTATGGGTTCAGTAAATGTAAGTAATACAATGTGAGGTAGTTTAGGTGCATACTGTTCTTTTTTCTTTCAAACGTTGCAGTGATGTTCTGTGAACAAAGGGAAGCTTCAAGAATAAATGGCCAGTAACAAGTGAATGATGTGCCTTAAGCATCCCAAACTTAAAAAAAGGCCCCTATCAACTAAAAACCCAAAAATCTTCAAAGGAAATGAAAACCCTAAAATAGCACCCCCTGATTCAAAAGACTATGTTGTTTAAAGGGCACCTTGTAGCACAAAAGAAAAAACATTTGCAATGAATGGAACAGGAGCCCAAAGTGACCACTGGCCTGAAATCAAACAACAACAAAAAATTAGACAAAAAGTCCACATTAATAAGATCGGAAAAAGCAGCAAAGGTGTTGATTAGGGATGCACCGATATATCGGCCCCTGAAACATATTGCCCGAAAATGGCACTTTTGGCTTTCTCTCCTCCCCACTGTCACAGATCGGCAGAGCGGTGTGTGGGGGCAAAGACAGCCAGTGCTGTCACAGGAGGCTGGCCTGCGCTGTAAGGGGAGGAGTCAGCTGTCAGATGGAGCTCTTCCCCCACAAAGCTCACTCAACCTCCTGTGACAGCGTGTCAGGAAGCAGAGTGAGGTACAAACACTCAGTGATCAGTGATCGCTGAGTGTTTGTAGATAATTGAGGACAGAGTATGGTTACTATATCCTCAATTATAATGAATGGGAAGTGATCTACTTTACCTCTTGTTCATTCATAGTTGTGGTTATAGTAAACATACCATGTCCTCATGTTATCAATGAACAGGAACACTCAGTATAGAGGTTTCGTGTTCATTGATAACTGGGACTGCAGAAAAAGGGATTGAGGACTCTGTGTTCTCAATCACTTTTTCTATTTTAAAAGGGAAATATCAGGGGTCTGTTTAGACCCCTGAAAGTAATAGCTCACCCTAATCTATCTCTATGCAGTCTGTTAGCTTTTTGCCTTTCCTTCCCCTATAGCAGCTTCCAACATTCTGTTATTATGGCTGCTTTATGCCCCCCCTTTTACAGTAACTGGCTTATCCAAAAACCACTATTAGCCTGCTGGCCATAGTTCACAGGTACACATAATTCTGGCTCCCCCCAGGCTGTTAGAACTGTCCCTGTAGCCTCTTCTCCCCCGGGCTCTGGTGGCCTACGGATCTCTGACATCATCGTGACTTATGCAGGTCCATTAGACATGTGGACAGTGAGGGACATTCCACAGCCATAGTGGAGGGGTAGAGAAGTGATTGCTGACCACTGGGGGGACTGAGCAGGGCTGTAGCTACCATGAGGTGATTGAGGCACAGCTGAGAGGGGGCACAGTCAGGGCCGGCCTGGCTGCGCCCCCTCGCCCCTGTTGCCATGGCGAGCAAAGG